AATGGAGACGTTACTGGGCCCGCTCAAGCAAATCAACAAACAACGGGAGGGCTTTTACCTTTACCTTTTACCTTAGTGAAACACCATGAGGTACAGTTGTAGACTTACAAATTTTTGTGCTTGGGTTTCAGTTATAAAATGATCAACTACCATCCCTCCACCAGTGCCCATTTTCCACCACCACTGGTCCGAGTATCCCTCCCACCCCCCATTCCTCCCACCCTATCCTGCTTCTGTGTCAGGGCATTCCCTTTTGTTCTCTCTCTCCTTTTGGGTGTTGTGGTTTGCAAACAAGGCATTGAGTGGTAATCATTTTCGGTCTATAATTTACTTTCAGCATGCTTCTATTGCCACATGGAAATATTCTATATGCCAAACACAGTAAAAACAAGTCTCACAATGAAGATGTTACTGGGCCCACTAGAGCTTCACCAGGTATGGACCAAAAAGAAAACAAATAAAAAAATAATCAATTTTATTTCATTTCTTAGTATATTTTTTGTTTGATTGCTTTCACCCCAAATTAGCAGTGCTCCAGGCTTAACTCTGGCACTGTGCTCAGGTTCATATTTGATGGGGACTAGGGATATGTGGAATAGGAATAATTGGTACTAGGGACCAAAGCTGGTGAGCTTCATGCAGGTGAACGCCCTACCGACTGTACTCTCTCTCTCTGACTCCATAAAAAGAAACACATTTTGGTAAGAGGTTGATTATTCTTGATTATGGGCTCACAAAATTACTTGACATATTTTCAAAGCCACGCGGGTTCCAGGTCCGAGACCTCCAAGCCTACTCGGATTGGAGTCAAGCATCTTCCACCCAGATCCTCCAAATTCCAGTAGGCGGGGGTCACACCCACCACCTGGCCCCCTGGCACCGTGTAATCCCATCAGCGGCCAAGACTCAGAGACTATAAAATCCAGATCCCGGAACCGCGCAGCCGCGTGACATCTTATCAGAACTTTTTTTTATGACATCTTATTGTCTCATTCCTACTTTGGACAAACTTGCAGGCTATCGAACGTAGCCTGCGCACAGGGCAGAGTCTGGCAAACTCCCCGTGGCGTACCAAATATGCCAAATACCAGTAGCAACGATGGGTCTCATTCTCCTAAAGAGCCTTGAATATAATCTCAGGGCTAGGATGATAGAGAAGTTACTGGGGCCTGCTCGAGGCAATCAACGAATAACAGGATGATGAAATGAAATGAAATGAAAAATTTTCTAAAACCTTTTATTTTTGGAATGTTTTTATCCCAAAAAGCAGGGTACACTTAAAAATTGTTATTATATAATAATTATATATGTATCACTGTCACTGTCACTGTTCTCCCATTGTTTATTGATTTGCTCCAGCGGGCCCAGTAACGTCTCCATTATGAGATTTGTTATTACTGTTTTTGGCATATCGAATACGTCACAGGGAGCTTGACAGGCTTTGCCATATGAGCGAGATACTCTCTGTAGCTTGCCAGGATCTCTGAGAGGGGCAGAGGAATCGAACTTTGGTCGGTCGGTCGGCCTCATGGAAGGCAAACACCCTACCCGCTATACTATCTTTCCAGCCCCATTTTGTAACAAAAAGGAAAAAAAAAGAAAAAAGAAGAACTTTCTTTTCAATGTGAGAAAAGCATGGAACTTGTAACATACTAAACTCAAGAATTTCTAAGAAAGGAAACTAGTAGGAAAAACGTAGATACTACGAGCACATTTGTGAAACCTGAAAAATGCAATGTTAGAAAATAACTTGTTTTTTTTTTTGAATTTCAAAAGAACTTTGTTTTGTTTCCTGAACATTTTCTTTGTAAACTGCCTTTTAATAGAAATGTCAAAATGTCAGAAGTGTCTGAAGAGAAACCAAATAATCACCATTTTGGTGATAACCAAAAAGCTCTGTGTGCTCATAGAATGCTGCAAGTCTAAGTAATTCTCTGAGGGGTTCGAGCAATAGCACAGCGGGTAGGGCATTTGCCTTGCACGCGCCTGACCCTGGTTTGATTCCCAGCATCCCATATGGAGTAACCACTGAGCATCACCGGGTGTGACCCAAAAAGAAAAAAAAATCCTAAATAATTATCTAAAAAAGCCGAACCTGATATCTGAGCCCAGAGATTATCCTCAAAAGGCTAGGGATAATGGACCATGCATGGGACCACTGGAATAGAGCTGTTACCAAATGGATTCCATGGGACGTCAAACGATGGAGTGGCCGCCCACATATGAGATGGTCAGATCTGTTTGAGGCTCTTCATGTTCCTGGAGCGAGCAGATGCCATTGGGCTACACTAGCACGTGATATTTTTTTATTTTTATTAATTGTGAATGCTCATTAGAATTGTAGATTACCAAGGAAATTGATGAAAACGTTTGCATTGTTTATTAGCAGTTATTCAACAACGTTCCTCAGGGATGAGACAACTCAGAGTTTTTTTCCCTCTTTCAAGAATCTATTTGTTTAACTTTATTTCCTTAGCTTTTCCAAATTTCCTTTCATACTTTATATAAACACTGTGATTTTCAAAGTTCTTCATGAGTGACAATTCTTTAACATAAAATAAGTCTTAAAATATTATTGATCAAGAAGAAAAGAAAAGCTTTATCACTGTAAAATATTGGTGATTTATTGGGAAAAAATTAAAAATCACTAGGAAGGACTGATAATAATTGTCATGCATGTGACCTACCCAGATTGAATCTTGGGACCTCAAAGAGTTCCCCAAGACCATAAGGAGTGATAACTGAAGAATAAGCACTGAGCACTGCTAAAAGTGGTATAAAAAGAAACAACACAAAAGTCTCTCAGGGTAACTTAAAACACACTGATCTTAAAATTAAATTAAAAAAATGCATTCATCTGGGGAACATAAAGCAACAAAATGGGAGACTAACACCCAGGAGTGGCTGAGATTAGTACCAGGAATTTTGCTCCATGACTTGGAGGCTAGCCACACGTGCTAGGGGAAAAGGAAGCTCAGATAGAGAAGAGAGCACCAAATAAAGGGTGTTGTGAGGATCCTCCCAGGGTGGGAGAAGCATGCTGAAAGTAGACTATAGACCAAATATGATTGCCACTCAATGCCTCTCTTGTAAAACACAGGACCCAGAAGAAGAGAGAGAGAACAAGGGGGAATGCCTGCCACAGAGGCAGGGTGGGATAGGGGGGATGGGGTGTGGGAGGAATGCTGGGACCCGTGGTGGTGATGGATGGGCACTACTGGAGGAATGGGTACTTGATCATTGTATAACTGAAACCCACGGTCATGGTCCTCCCATTGTTCATCGATTTGCTCGAGCGGGCCCAGTAACGTCTCCATCGTGAAACTTCTTGTTACTGTGTTTGGCATATCGAATACATTACGGTTAGCTTGCCAGGCTTTGCCGTGCAGGCAAGATACTCTCAGTAGCTTGCCAGGCTCTCCAAGAGGGCCAGAGCTACGAACTCGGGTCGACCATGTTGGCTGCGTGCAAGGCAAACGCCCTACCGCTATGCTATCGCTCCATCACTAACTGAAACCCAAGCACAAAAATTTGTAAGTCTATAACTGTACCTCATGGTGTTTCACTAATAAAAAACTTTAAAAAAAATTCTGAGTTCAGCAATATAATAGAGAACAACGTTCTTGTCTTCCACAGAGCTGATTCAGCTTACTCTGCTGGAAAACAAATGGTAAAGTAAGTAAAAGTAAAGGCCCTCCCGTTGATCGTCGATTTTGCTCGAGTGGGCCCAGTAACGTCTCCATTGGAGACGTTGTTGTTACTGTGTCTGGCATATCGAATACTCTCGGTAGCTTGCCGGGCTCTCCGAGAGGAGCGGAGGAATCGAACTTGGGTCGGCCATGTTGGCCGCTTGTAAGGCAAACGCCCTACCCGGTAGGTACACTAAACCCTGCCAGGAGAAAACCCTGAGCACAGAGCCCAGAGTAAGTCCTGATCCCAGCTCCTTCTGATCCCAAACTAAGCAAAACAAGCAAACCTTCATGGTTGTCTGGCACTTCAGTATTCTCTTTATTTGTTTTATGGTGGGAACACACACCCTACAGTGCTTGGGGGTACTTGCCTGCCTCTGGGCTCAAGGATCACACCTGGCAAACACCTTACAGCCTCCACTATCTCTCTGATGCCAACAGCGCTCAGTTTCTAGTTTATTTATCATTTTTACTTTTCCTCAACAAGAATGGGATGTGGAACAAGAAGACAATTGAAGAAGGGCTTGCTTCCCCTGAAAGCTAGTTCCCTGAACATGGCATTCCTTGTGACAAAATAGAGCTCTGGGGCATCACTCCCCTCTATGAAAATCCTTTAATCCAGCCCCACCCTATCTCAGGGTGGTTCTCCTGAGCCCTACCCTAGGATGTATATAAATGCTGTGCTGAGTTCAGGGCAAGCATTGCCAGTCTGAAGTCTGCATCCTGCAAGGAGGGCAGCTCACCAACAGCAACAAGCACTGTGCAGGACCAGAATCAGGACCAAGGTGAGTAGTGATCAATCAGGGGTTTTGCCTTATGTAGAGCAGGGGTGGGGCAGAGAGATCAAAGTGGGGATGGAGAGGGAAGAGGGGTTGTGTTTCTTGCTGGGCCAGAGCTTAGCTCCCACAATTTCCTTTGTGCTCACTGTGTGAGGTTCTAGAGGGCAACTTTTTGACTATCTGATATCTATCTGAGTCCCAGAATTAAGTTCCCTTTCCTCTAATGTGAATGGGGTCATTTTCCCATTCACGGAGACTTGGCATCTGTGGAGCAATATTACTTGAAACAGGGGACCCTAATGCACGAGGGACCCTATTGCACGAGCAGTTCCTTTGGTCTTAGGAGAGTGAACTTGGAGAAGCCCTTGAGTCTAGAACTGTTCTGGTCATCAGAGAGACACATCCCTTAGAAACCCATATTGAGTTCAGGATAATGACTGAGTGTGTAACTGTTTTCCTGGCAGGAGAGAGCCTGAGGGTTTCAACTTTCTGAGGAAAATCACCCCCGACTTGCCCTTTCCCACACCCAAGGATGGAGGTGTGGGAAGCCCTGGCCAAAATGCAGCCAGACCTCATCTGTCGCATCTGCCTGGACTACATCAATGACCCGGTCACCATCGACTGCGGCCACAGCTTCTGCGACTCCTGCATCCGCATGTCATGGAAGGACCTGCAGGACACATTCCCTTGTCCCGTGTGCCGGCAGTCCCGCCAGGAGATGCGCGTTAGTGCCAACGCCCAGCTGGGCAGGCTGGTGGACCTGGCCAAGCTCCTGCACAGCTCCAGCAGCAGCGAGATGGCGGTGGCAGAGGAGGGCAGGTGTGAGGAGCACAGGCAGGGAGTGAGCCTCTTCTGCGAGGTTGACCAGGAGCTGGTGTGTCCCCAGTGCGCCCAGGGCCCTATCCACCAGGGCCACCAGGTCAGGTCCATAGGCGAGGCAGCGGCTCATCACAGACAGAGGCTTGGTGACTGCATCAAGTCCCTGAAGAAGCAGCTGCTAGAGCTGCAGAAGCTAGAAGTCGCCCAAGACAGAAACATCCTGCAGCTGAGAGAGGACATGGGAAAGCACAGGAATCAGCTGGCCTCGGAATTTGAGCAGCTCACCCAGTTTGTGGAGCGTGAGCACGAGGCTGCACTCCGCAGGCTGGCAGAAGAGGACAAACGCCTGCAGCAGCAGCTCAGGGCCAACCTGGAGGCCTACTCGGACCACATCTCGGAGCTGAAGGACCTCAGACGGGAGGTGGCAGAGCGAAGCGTGATGTCGGAGGAGATGGTGCTGAGGGGCGTGAGGGGCTTGTAGCAGCGCTGGGCGGGCCTGCAGCTCCCGGTCGTGCGGCCCCTTTGCTTCAGGCCGGTGGCCTACAGCCTCCCTCCTCTGTACTCGGCGCTCAACAGCATCATCCAGAGATTCCGAGAGCGCATCAGCCTGGACCCCGACACGGCCCACCCAAGCCTGCGTGTGTCCCAGGACCTCCAGTCGGTGACCTGCGTGAGGAAAAGGTCCAAAGGGGATGGGGACCCCGGGCCCTGGGATGACACCACCCAGCTGGTGGTCCTGGGCCGGGAGGGCTTCGCCTCTGGCCGCCACTACTGGGAGGTGCAGGTGGGCGCCAAGCCCGAGTGGGCCGTGGGCGTGTGCAGCGTGGTCCCTTCGGCGCAGACCTCACGGCCCCTGGCGGCTCCCAAGAGATGCTGGACGCTGCAGCTGCAGGACGGCGACTACCTGGCCGTGAGTGCGGGGGCCGAGCCTCTGGCTCTCAGAGACCAGCCCACGGCCATCGGCATTTACCTGGACTGGGAGCTGGGCCAGCTTTGCTTCTATAACGCCACCAACAGGTCTCACCTCCACTCTTTCACGGAGCCCTTTGCTCAAGAGCTCAAGCCCTACCTCCGCTTGGGGCCCGACTCCGCCCCTCTCTCTGTGGGCGCTGGCGGGGCTGAGGATGGGTGAGCATATCCTGGGCTTCCCCCCCTGCATCATGTGGACAGCTTGTGTTCTTGTAAATTTGGAATTCTTTGCATTAGGTGTCGGTGGTTAAGGTTGATGTGAAGAACTGTTCCCATTTTGTAACTCTTTGTAATTTTTAATGCCAACTATTTTATATCTTTATGTCTATTTCTAATAAAATAAAAATTTAATGGTTAATAAGTTATACTTCCTTTCCTCAACATGTTATTGTCAAAGACATTGCAAACTTTTCCGATCCAGTTTTACTAGACCTGGGAGGTGGGAGGTCCCTGGGACTTTTGGCTTATTTTTAACACAGGTTGTTTATTCTTAGAGAATATGTGTATTTCACCAGTTTTCCTCAATTCTGTAACACTTTAGCAGTTTCCTCTGAGCATGGATCAAGGATTATCTACTTTGCCCAGTTTGATGAGGACCAAATAATAAAATAAATAAATAATTATAAAAACAAAGATCTGAATTTGTTATTAATATATTGCTACACTTACAAACAAAATCACGAATCAGATGTCACACACTTTTGCAGTTCCCCCACTCAGAAATGTTTTACTTGGGGCTGGAGCAATTGCATAGCGGGTAGGGCTTTTGCCTTGCACGTAGCTGCCCCAAGTTCGATTCCCTGCATCCCATATGACCCTGTGAGCACTGCCAGGAGTAATTCCTGAGTGCAGAGCCAGAAGTAACCCCTGTGCATTGCCGGGAGTGACACCAAATAGAAAAATAATAATAATAATAATAATTTATTTGAGCCTTGTTATATAAATACCTTTTTCTCCTCCTGGCAAGAGAGAGCCCAAGGAGCTCTGCCTTGTGAGGAATAAAACTCCAGTTCTGCCCTTCCCACAGCTGAAAATGGAGGTGTTGGCAAAACTGGCCAAAATGCAGGCAGAGCTCATCTGTCCCATCTACCTGGACTACTCGGTCACCATCGACTTGGAGCACAACTTCTGTGACTCCTGCATAAGCCTCTCACGAAAGGACATGCAGGACAGATACTATTGCCCTGTCTGCGGGCAGCCCGACCAGGAGAAGAGTGTCAGTGCCATTGCCCAGCTGGGCAGGCTGGTCGACCTGGCCAAGTTCACTACAGCTCCAAAATGCTCACATTGTTTTCCCTCCCACTCTAAGGTGCTGAGTCTTTCCACCTCAGAGGTGTTCAATTGTCCTGCTTTGGAGCAGCAATAGGGAATGTGATTAGGTAGACTTCCTTTTCAGAGGAAAACCTCATTAACGGCTGCCCCCACGTGTCTATTTGCCTGTATTATGTCCACAACACACCTGTAAATAATCACCCTTCACTCCAACTTCCTAGAAGGAAGTTTTACTTGTGAATCCTTTGCCAGCAGAAAGAGTGACTCAATTTGGGTCATGTTAGGTACTGAATGATTCATGTACATAAAGTTGAGGAAAGAACTGGAGGCTCTGGTTCGTTCTATTCCTCTGACAGCATACAGCACAGTCTTGAAGACTAGCATCCACATGGAGTATGGATTGAGGCATATTTCCTTTTATAATATGAGAACGGTCTTATACTCATTTTTTTTAAAATTTCTGTTTCTACTGTTATGTAATGGTCGGAAGCGATAGCACAGTGAGTAGGGCATTTGCTTTGCATGCGGCTGACGTGGCCGATTTGGGTATGATTCCTGCACACCTCTCAGAGAGCCCGGCAAGCTACTGAGAGTATCCCGCTTGCACAAAAAGCTTGGCAAACTACCCGTGACGTATTTGATATGCCAAACAGAGTAACAAATGTCACAACGGAGACGTTGCTGTGTCTGCTAGAGCAAATTGATGGACAACGGGAGGACAGTGACAGTGATTTATTTATTTATTTATTTATTTATTTATTTATTTATTTTTGTGGCCACAGCAGGTGATGCTCAGGGCTTACTTTTGGCTCTATTCTTGGAAATTACTCCTTACTGTGCACATGGGACCAGATAGGATCCTAGGGGTTGAACCTGGGACAGTGTGTGCAAAGCAAATACCCCACCAGCTATTCTATGGGTCCATTCTATTGTCATGTTTTCTAGAAAAAAGAGAAATGGTGTATACTGGCAATGAGTTCTTTAGAATTAATACAGTAAAGATTGAGATTGAAGAAATAACTTTCACTAGTCCTAAATGAGCAATTTTTAAAGAACAGAACCACTTTTTGGTCACAGGAAGTAAGGCAGATAAGACTTTAATTGACACCAGTACAGACCTATAGGATCCTGGACCCCTTGAAAAGGTGCCCGAGCATGTCTAAAAATGTGAGAAGCACATAAAGGTTGATCATCAAAAGTTTCAAGGTCTTCTTGACAAGAAAGACCACAGCAATGGACTGATTTTTTTTAAATTAGTGAAACACCATGAGGTACAGTTGTAGATTTACAATTTTTTGTGCTTGGGTTTCGATTATACAATGATCAAATACCCATTCCTCTATCAGTGCCCATTTTCCACCACCATGGATAATATCCCTCCCACCCCCATCCCCCCCATCCCACCCTGCCTCTGTGGTAGGCCATTCCTTTCGTTCTCTCTCTCCTTTTGGATGTTGTGATCTGCAAAAGAGGCATTGAGTGGCAAACATGTTCAGTCCATAGTCTACTTTCGACATGCATCTCCCCTCCTGGGAGGATCCTCCAAACACCCTTTATTTGGTGCTCCCTTCTCTATCTGAGCTGCCCTTTTCCCTAGAATGCCCGGCTGGCCTCTAAGCTATGGAGTAATCCTCTTGGTGCTGATCTCAGCTATTCTTGGGTATTAATCTCATATCTTGTTACTTTATATCCCCCAGATGAATGCAATCTTTCTATATCTATCCCTCTCTTTCTGACTCATTTTGCTTAGCATGATACTTTCCATGATGTACCACTTGTATGTAAATTTCATGACTTCATCTTTTCTAACAGCTACATAGTATTCCATTGTGTAGATGTACCAAAGTTTCTTTAACCAGTCATCTGTTCTTGGGCACTCAGATTTCTTCCAGTTTCTGGCTATTTTAAAGAGTGCTGCAATGAACAAACAAGTGCAGATGTCACTTCGACTTACATTTTTGCCTCTCTGGGATATATTCCCAGGAGTGGTATTGCAGTGTCAAATGGGAGCACAATTTCTAATTTTTTGAGAATCGTCCATATTGTTTTCCAAAAGGGCTGAACCAGTCGGCATTCCCACCAACAATGAAGGAGTGTCCCTTTCTCGCCACATCCCCACCAGCATCAGTTGCTTTTGTTCTTTTGAATGTGGGCCAGTCTCTGAGGTGTGAGATGGTATCTCATTGTGGTTTTGATATGCATCTCCCTTGATGATTAATGTTGTAGAGCATTTTCTCATGTGCTTTTTTGCCATTCTGATTTCTTCTTTGAGAAAGTTTCTGTTCATTTCATTGCCCCATTTTTGGATGGGGTTGGCTGTTTTCTTCTTGTGGAGTTCAACCAGTATTTTGCATATCCTGGATGTCAACCCCTTGTCAGATGTGTATTTGGCGAATATCCTTTCCCATTCTGTAGACTGTCTTTGTATTTTGGTCACTGTTTCTTTGGAGGTGCAGAAGCTTCTTAGTTTAAGATAGTCCCATTTATCTATCTCTGCTTTCACTTACTCAGCCAGTGGCGTGGCGTCTTTGAAAATACCATTAGCCTCAATGTCATGGAGGGTTTTGCCAACTTTGTTTTCAATGTACCTTATGGTTTCTGGTCTGATGTTGAGGTCTGTAATCCATTTTGATCTTACCTTTGTACATGGTGTTAGGCAGAGTTCTGAGCCCATTTTTTTGCATGTAGCCATCCAGTGATGCCAGCACAATTTGTTAAAGAGGCTTTCCTTACTCCACTTCACATTTCTTGCACCTTTATCAAAGATTAGATGATCACATGGTTGAGGGGAGATGTCAGTGTATTCAAACCTGTTCCATTGGTCTGCAGTTCTGCCTTTGTGCAATGGACTGATTTTTATGTAGGCATAAAGCTCCATCTGGGGGCAGCTTAGGATAAAACTTATGAAACTACTCTTCCCCTGCGTCTCAAACCTGATATTGCGCTCCCAGTTCTGTCCTCCGTAGAAGCCCATGTTTTCTCTGAATGAGTTATTCTCCTCTTTCATTCTTCATAATCTCTCTCTATAGAAATTTTACTTAAAAAAGGAAGATGATATGGGGGGTATTATATGAATATAAATATAAAGTAGTTTGGGGGTCACACCTCGCATTGCTCAGGGCTTATTCCTGCATTCTGTTCTTAGGGATCCCTCTTGGCAATGCCTGGTATACCATTGAGGTGACAGAAATTGAATGTGGGTTTGCGTGCAAGGCCAGCCTTATTGGTTAAAGTACATTCTGGCCTATAACTGTAGATGTGAAATCCTGTGATAACCATGATGGAATTTTCACAAAGTGGGTGGGACAATTCAGATTTCAAACAGCAAAGACCTCAGGTCTCTCTGGGTAGAGGCAGTGCAGGGTTGGCCTGGTGCTGAGCTGAGAGAACACACAAAAGTTCAGGTTATAAGGTAGGGACTCCCCAACAATAAAATGAAGGGGTGGGGCAGAATACAGCAGGTAGGACATTTGCCTTGCACCAACCCCATATAGTTTTTCCTTCAAGTCCACCATGAGAGATACCTTAGGACAGAGCCAGAAGTACACCTTGAGCACAGCTGAGTATCACCCCAAACGAAAACCGAAAACTAAAACCAAAACCAAGAAAATGAAGTTCCGGAGCCAGGGCTGTGGACATGTGTGATCGTTGCACTTTTGGGGCTTTCCCTGATTCTTGTATCTCTGTTCAATGTTTGATAGGATCAAACTGAAATCCGGAAGTCTTTACTAGGAAATATCAATTTCTCCTAAGAAAGTATAAGTGATTATACAAATCTCGTGATCTTCACAATCAACCATTTTCAGGGATCTCTGGAGGTCTGTGATATTGTTTTCTATCTAGTATGGAAATTATTTTTTGATTGACATGTCAACCTCATCAATTAATTAC